ACAGTTGCTGTAATATGAATATTACATAGGTGATTATCCAAATTTTTGCTGTCGATAGGATTTGAACACCCAACCTACTACTTGGAGGGTTGATAACCTAATCACTTTACTAGGTTACCATACCCCTATTTAATTTTATTATTAGATTTACTTTTTTTTATCTTGTATTATTAATCTGTTAAAGACTATTTTTTTGTATAACCTATTTAGTAAACTTGCAATTATTTATCTTTAATCTGATTTAATTATTTGTTTGTATTTTTTTTCTACTTGTTTTTCTTTAAAATTATATCTATTTTTTTTTTTCTTTAAATATTTTTTATTACTTTTTAATATTTTCTATTCAAAACTCTAACTATTGTTTGTGTAATTCTAATAATACTATTTCTATTTTTACTCCTATAGCTTTAAGTTTATTGTTTATTTGTTTTTTTTTTGTTTTTGCCTCTTGATTCTTTTTTATTTTTACTTTTTTAATTATTTATTGCAGTTCTACAATGCACTTGTGTTGCTATTGTTTCTTTCAACTTTGTTTTTTATTTATTTTTGTGTTGACAAAAATAATTTAGTCAAGCATTATATTAAGATATTAATATGAAATTTAGCTAATAATAACTATTTGTTTGTTTTTTCAATTTTAAATTTGCTTATATTGAGCTTAAATTTATTAATGGTTCTATATACAGTAGTTTTAAGAATTCTTTCAAGTTAAGAAAGTATAAAAATTTTTTTCAGATACAAATCAAAATTTTATCATGTGAATTGTAAGATACCCAGAACCCCGTAACTCACCCACAAAAAAATTTACAGAACGTGATCATAGTCAATTAGATTGAAGAATCAGGTGTAACGTGAAAATCACATCTTTTTTTAAAAAATCGAAAATTTACCTAAGAAACTGCCTTCTGCGTTCTAATAAAAAAAATTCCTCGTGAAATTTTAGTATAATCTATGACCTTCTTTATCCTTAATCCTAACTCTAAAGATGATGCTTATTACTTTAAAATATTTGATCTAATTGGCGTGAGCTACTAATGTCGATACCTGAGTACCTTTAACCGAGCCTGGCTTTAAGGGTTAGAACCTTAACATTAAGGGCTATAGAAAAGATTAACACTTTTTATATGTAAATTTCATTTCCGACATGTTTATTTAGTGCACCAAAGTCAATTTAAACATTAGTTTTTTGAGTATTTTCGTTTTTTTCTTCTTTCACTCGTGTTCGGATTCTATGTCGGACTGAAACGGAATAGTCAAAATTTGCACTCTGATTGGCTATTTCCTTTTTAAAAGTTCGTGTTACTCATTAAAAATATGATGTTGAGAACTTCAATTAAGATAATCTCTATTATTTATGATTTCGCATACATACGTAGGAGCAATGGATGACTTTATAATGACAATTGAGGACGACGCGGAGATAGCATACAACGAAGAGGAGAATGAGGAGAATGATAGCAATGATTCCTTTATAATGATAGTTGAGGACGACACGGGGATAACACATAACGAAGAGGAGAATGAGGAAAATGATAGTAGCGATGACTTTAAAACGACAACTGAGGATGACATGGGGATAACATACAACGAAGAGGAGAATGAGAATGATAGTAGCGATTACTTTATAACGACAACTGAGGACGACATGGGGATAACATACAACGAAGAGGAGAATGAGGAAAATGATAGTAGTGAAGACGAATATGAAAAACAGGTTTATATTATTTTTCTTGACACTATTAAATATCTATTGGAATAGTTGTACAAAATTAGTATTATACACTATACAATTATACATTTTCACGTTCGTTTATAATTATGCTTTCATTAGAGGAAAAAAGAATATTTTGCGGATGAGTCTGAGATGATTCATTATGACAATTCAGAATCATTCCAAACAATGAATCTTTCTCGACCTATTCTTAAAGGACTTAATCAATTGGGATTTATACAACCTACCCCAATTCAAAGACAAACAATTCCTATAGCTCTTATGGGTAGAGACATTTGTGGTGGTGCTATTACCGGTTCTGGAAAAACTGCTGCATTCCTGGTTCCTGTCATAGAGCGCTTATTATACAGACCAAGAAAGACACCTTCTATGCGAGTGCTTATCTTAGCCCCAACTCGCGAGCTGGCTATTCAATGCCATAGTGTCGCAACTAAATTGGCATCATTCACTGACATAACACTTTGCCTGTGCATTGGTTAGTTATCAAATATATTATTCAATTTATGTCACATACTTATAGTTCTCATTTATGTCATATCTCTTCGAAATTACTGTGTTGTGATTAATTTTTATTAGGAGGATTAAATCTCAAAAAACAAGAAAGTGAACTTCGCGCACGCCCTGATATCATTATTGCAACTCCAGGGCGATTGATCGATCATGTGCGAAATTCACCTTCTTTTAGTCTAGACACTATTGAAATTTTGATAATTGATGAAGCCGATCGGTATGATATGTTCATTTTAATGATTAGGTTTCTTTAATACAATGATCATAATTATCCTACGATTTTTATTTTCAGGATGTTGGAAGATGGCTTCTCCGCCGAATTAAATGAGATTGTAAAGAGTTGTCCAAAATCAAGGCAGACAATGCTTTTCTCTGCCACCATGACAGATAACGTTGATGAATTAATTCGCCTTTCATTGAATCGACCAGTACGATTAATGGTCGACTCAACAAAGGCAACTGCAGTAAAGCTCATACAGGAATTTGTTCGTATAAGAGAACATCGTGAGGAAGATCGACCTTCTATGTTAGTTGCATTATGTAAAAAGGCATTCCGTCGTAAAGTTATAATTTTCTTCAAAAATAAAGTTACCGCTCATGAAATGAAGATAATTTTTGGTCTTTTGGGTTTGAAAGCTGCAGAATTACATGGAAACTTGTCACAAGAGCAAGTATGAAAATTATGTTTTAAATTATAATCAATGTTGCGCTGGTGCTGAAATTTGATTTCCTATTTGAAATTTATTTAATGATCCTTAATCTTGACCTAATTATAAAAAAGGCCAAAAAAAAGAGACCCCAAAATTTTAAATTTTCATATGGAATGAAGGTTTTATTGTTCATGTGTTATACCGATTAAAAATATGAAAAATCAAACCGGTTTCAAACTAATATGGAAATCTTTAGTATCAGCATAGGCAAATTTTAGATGACAATTAATTTTTTTTTCATCCGTTTATTCGACACGTATATAGCGCATAGAGGCTCTTGAGGCTTTCCGAGATGGAAAAGTAGACTTTCTCTTAGCTACCAATTTGGCATCGCGAGGTTTGGACATCAAAGGCATTGAAACTGTTATCAATTACAATATGCCACAAAATTACGAGCATTATATACATCGTGTCGGCCGAACAGCTCGTGCAGGACGTGGCGGACGGTATTAATGATTATTTTTTCGTGGTTCCATGCCCATCAATATTTTTACAATTGTTGAAATGGTATTATAATTTTATAGATCAGTAACTTTCACAGGAGAAGCAGATCGCAAGATTTTAAAGATGATAATTAAACATGCAACTAATGGTCAAATTAGAAGGCGTACTATTGATGCAGAAATTGTTTCAAAATATCGCGAAAAGCTTGATCAATTAAAAAATAAAATTAAAGAAGTCATTGAAGAAGAAAAAGAAGCAAAAGCTATGCGGCTTGCGGAAATGGAAATACAAAAGAATAAAAATCTTTTGGAGCATGAAAAGGAGATATTTAGTAAGCCTGCTCGGACTTGGTTTCAGTCTAAACAAGCGAAGCAAAAATCTAAACTTGCTGCAAAAGAACAATCTAATAGTAATGTCAAAACTTCAGAGACAAACAAAAAGCGAAAACGAGAAAAAATTATAAAATTAAAGTCAAAGCGTGACAAATGTGCTAAAAAATCAAAGTCAAAACGCTAGGTTACTACTCAAATGTAGTTAGTAATTAACAAAATTTTTTAAATAAATATGTAAACTATTAATTATTTAATTGCTAATCCACCTAGAAATATAGGGTTATTTGTTAATGGTGGCGGCATCGATAGATGGGAATGTATTTTGTAATTAACAATGACTTATGATACCCTTACATGATATTAAGTAATTATTACATTCTGCATATCAAAATTACACGATGAATAAAGATTTAACTCATCTCTTTCAAAATCATGAGGATCTTCTTTCGAACTAGATTATTTTTTGAGTGCAACGGTGCTGGATGATTCACATAAGATAGTTATCAACAACATTGTTATATTTATCAGTAGTTTGTACACAGTTAAACCGGGTTGCAGAAACTACCAAATTCTCCTGGTCTATTAAATAAAATTGGGTTAATTATACGATCGTACATAGTAGTTCTAGTTAAAATCCTTTCAGGCAGTCATCAATCTTTTATTTCTGCTTATTACATCAGGGTTGTATATATAATCCATGTTTCTTTCGTGTTATATCCAGATCTTCTTTTAAGTATCAAGTGTATATTTTATTGTCTGGAGCGTAGCGACCGTCATAGGCGGAAGTTTGTCTGATTGGGCAATAAATTCAATTTAATTTTATGTTATTTATACAGTTTCGAGTACTTTTTAAAAAACGAAAACTAATCATAATGAAATAAAAAAGCTATATAGAAGCTTTTATTAGAGCAGTAGGACTTCATAGTCAAAATTTTGTAAAATTAAGCAATTTGATTGGCTGAAAATTTTTATCCAATCAAATTGCAAAAAAACCGCTAATAGTTTAAATATAACCTTTGTTATAATTATTCGAAGGCCAACCTTATTATAAAGATGCCTATCTTAAGATATTTATTTGCTCTTAAAAAATCTTATATTTATCTTGTAAAAATGTTTAACTATTTACTTTTTTTGTAAAACTACTATTATAAATGAAAGCTTTCTTAATTTTATACTATAACAACAACATGGTATAGGGAATCCTTTATGGGTATATGTGGTGTCCAAAAGGAAAGTATAGCTTCTGTTAAACATTGTCAAAAAACTATACTCTTTTCTGAGACAGTTTGAAAAAGGTAATGCAATACTAATAATTTTACTTTATTTCACTAAGAGGAAATAAATCTTGCTTGTAAGAATTACCCTAGAAGGAGATTATTAATACAATTTATAATTAAAAGCTGTTTATTAAAATAATAACAAGAAAAGTTATCTTTAGGTTTCTATTTCTAAAAAATCTCAAGATGTGTTTACAATATTAAAGAAAAGAGGAGATTTGTTGCTTAATTACATTTGAAAAATTAGCAAGATTTATATATTTGTAAACTAAGCAGTTAAGTGGCCAAATAACTAAATGATTAAGTAATTAAGCAATTAAGTGATTAATTAATTACTAAAAGACTGAAAGGTTTTAGTAACTAATAACTAATGATTACTAAGTGATTAATTATTAAGCAACTAAACAGCTAAGCAACTAAGTAACTAAGTGACTAAATGACTAAGTGACTAAGTAATTACTAATTAACTGAAAAGTTCTAATAACTTCTAATAATAATAATAATACAATTATGAAATAACTAATACTAATAATAATAATAATAAAATAATAAAATAAAATAATAATAATTTATTCTATAATATTATCTAACTATTTACCTATTTATTTTTTAAGATTTTTAACTATTTATTTACTTATTAGTAAAAACATCTAATTATTTACTACTTATTAATAAAAATATCTAACAATTTGTAAGAACACTTATCTATTTATTTACTATTTATAAAAACCTTAACTATTTGTTTTTTTTTTGATATTAAGGTATAGCTTTGTTTATATCTTTATTATTAATTTAAAATAGTTACTTTGTGATTCGCTAATTAATGATAGAAAATTAATAGTACATTTTGGAGCAGATTTTGTCAATCTTATATTAAATTAAACTTGACTCAAAAAAGTTAATTCAACTAAAAGTTTCTTATATGATATCTAAAATGGATTCAAATGATATGAGTTATAAAATAAAATATAAATATTAATTTTATAAATTTTTTATTTAAATTGTCTTTATATATCATTAATTTATCTTTGAAGGAACAGCTAGATTCTGACTTATTTTTCTAATAAGATTAGGTATATTAATTGTAAGTCTATTTTATGGTAATAAAGCAGAAGTTACAAAAATGAAAAAATTACTAACCAAATACTAAAAAGCTTAAAATTTATGACAGAGTATTTTACAATTTTATATACCTAGTATATGATACATTCTTTAAAGTAATATATATAATAAATATATATTCATTTCATAATTATAATAATTTGGACTTAGAAAGAAAGACCATGTTAGACAATATTTTAAATATATAGGTATGAATTATCCTTTCTCCTTAGTGACTTAGATAATTTTTTACTTAGAAGTAATCTAATAGACTAATTACTACAGAGATTTCAAACTTTATTCACAATAATTAATTTTATTATCTGTGATGAAATTGTGCATATTTTTTTTTTTTTTTTTTTTTTTTGGAGTTAAGGTGAGGTCATGCCTCAGGTCTGTTTATTCAAACATATTGTTA